GCTGCGTTTCTCTCGGTTGGTTGTGCATCTTTTTCTTCCACACTTTTTCCTTCCACTCAACTTTCTGTTAACATGCTTGGATACAGCACTCTGTGAACAGCCAGCTTCTTTGGCAATGAATGTTGTGGCTTACCCTCCTTGTGAAGGGTGTCAATGATTGTCTTCTGGACAACTGTCAGATCAGCAGTCTTCCCCATGATTGTGTAGCCTAGTGAACCAAACTGAGAGACCATTTTGAAGGCTCAGGAAACCTTTGCAGGTGTTTTGAGTTGACTAGCTGATTGGCATGTCACCATATTCTAATTTGTTGAGATAGTGAATTGGTGGGTTTTTGTTAAATGTGAGCCAAAATCATCACAATTAAAAGCACCAAAGACTTAAACTACTTCAGTCTGTGTGCATTGAATTTATTTAATACACGAGTTTCACAATTTGAGTTGAATTACTGAAATAAATGAACTTTTCCATGACATTCTAATTTATTGAGATGCACCTGTACATCAAAGTCAGATTAATTGGAGAAAAGTGGCTTTTATTCACTGGAGATCTTCCTATGTTATCATACACCCTTGTTGGGTGAACATGATATAAGTAGAGCTTCTAATAAATCAATATTCATCTCTTACAATTACTCATCTCTTAACTACCTCTTGGATGGAAGGATGAATATATGAATAGATTAGTGGGAAGTGCTCTTCTGATGTGCTTACCATCGCAAAGCCCACATCTGCCTTCTTGAGAGCCGGCCCGTCATTGGTCCCATCACCAGTTACAGCCACCACCTGTCTCTGCTCCAGCACAGTGCTGTCAATGATGCCTACACAATGGCATCATCACACAGCAAACAATTACCAGCTAGCACATAACCTTGACCAATCACTGAATACAACTACTGTCACCACAGAACATGAATTCATCAGTCTGATACATTTTAATTGACTGTATGTTACACCTTACTGAGTGTCAAATTAATTTTTCAGTAAGTCAGTCATTTTTTAAAGAAATACTTTTATTCAGCAAGGATGCATTAAACTGATCAAAAATACATAAAAATATTTAGCAGCATAACTGTTTTCAACATGGATAATAATAAAAAGTGTTTCTTGAGCACCAAATATTCATTTTAGAATTATTTCTGAAGGATCATGTGACACTGAAGACTGGAATAATGCCTGCTGAAATTCAGCTTTGCCATCACAGCAATAAATGACATTTTAAAATATAATAAAACAGAAAACAGTCATTTTAAATTTTAATATTTTAGTGTAAGTGCTATAATATTTTACAATATTAATTACATCAGCAGATTTGGTTGGCATGAGATACTTCTTTTAAAAACATTAAAAAAAAATCTTACAGACCCCAGATTTTAAACAGTAATGTAAGTTTCTTGTGGTCTTAAAATCTTTTAATCTAGATGTCTGTTTGATCCAAAGCGTAGAGTTGTTGGCAATGGATTACGATTTTGAATAAAAAAATGGTCACACTTTATTTTAAGGTCCAATTCTCACTATTAACAAACCATTAACTATGACTTTTGCCTCAATAAACTCCTAATTTGCTGCATATTAATAGTTAGTAAGGTAGTTGTTAAGTCAAAGTTCCTTTAAGGCAAGCCATTTCACTTGGCGGCCATCTTTGAAACGCCTCTCGGGAATGCAAGTGCAGCTCCTATCTCTCAGGGATTCCTTCGATGGAGCAGCCATATTGAGCGTTGTATTTTTCCCAATTCAAAAATTGAATTGAAAATTGAAAAATTTAATTTCATATTTGAAATCACCAATGAAATCTGACAACAACTGTCTCATAAATGATGTTTCTTTTGCTCAAATAGTTTTCAGGCTAGACCAGCCAGTGCGCATGCACAGTCCAAAGTGTGCATCTCAGAAAGTTGAATGTTTCTATAGCAACCAGGACTTCTAACGGCAGCTGCAGTGACGCAATGATTTTACCGATTAGCGATTGGCTCTTTTATTCAGAAGGCTCCTGCTCAATCTATAACACACACACATGCACGTACACAGAGCCCAGACATCCATGATTCAGTTTAGTCTGTATTGGTTTGGTGCTGAGATGTCTGAAATTCAATTTTCACGAACCTCTCCTTTCTCATTTCTGATTCTTCGGTTGAAGTCTTTACCCTCCAGGCACAGAAAGTCATCCCCGGGCTGAATGATGCCACACTTGGCAGCAATAGCTCGTGCTGTGTTGATGTTGTCGCCGGTGACCATGCGCACAGTAATGCCTGCCCTCTGACACTTGCAAATGGCTTCAGGGACCTGCGGAGGGAGCAGAGAAATGCTTGAAAAGAGAAAACGCATTCCAAGGACATAGGATACATGTTCTCACTACATACTGTACCTCAGGTCGAACGGGGTCCTCAATCCCGACGACAGCGATGCAGGTCAGATCGGTGACAATTTCAGCTTCATTATCCCAGTCCGGCTCGGGGTTGCAGGGAAGATCACGATAAGCGATGCAGATGGTTCGCAGGCCTTCACATGCCATGGGCTCGATCACTTTCTTCACCATCTCATCTCTGTCCCGTGGCTTGAAGTTTCGTGTTTCACCATTGGCACCAAGTATCGAGGAACACCTGAGGTAGAAAAAGAGAAAGCAGTAAGGACAAAAAGAGGTGTTTAATGACAACCAACAAAAGAAACAACAACATCTGAAGTTATGGTTATGATTCCAAGATCTTGTGATGTTTTACTAACTTTTTCAGAAGGATCTCAGAAGCTCCTTTGCTGTAGAGCCGGAAACTTCCATCCGGCATCTGCACCACAGTGCTCATGGACTTGCGTACAGAGTTGAAAGTGTAGACTTTGTAAAGCTTCTCCTCTGGGATATGCTCTCTCACAGGGGCGTAGTCTCTCTTCAAGTCCAACAGAAAGCCCAGCAGACCACACTCTGTCTTATTACCAACCTGCTTGGGCAGACCACCTTCCACATCCGGTGGCTGAAAGAGAATTGAAATGAAGCAAGGGACACCGAGAAGAGAAAATGAAAAAAAAACTGGATGAAAAAGTTTCTATTTATATTTGACAAGCCAGTATAACAGTAGCTTCCCTCCTGTAAAAAAACATCTTACCAGCCTAAGTTGGCATGCTGGTCTCCCAGCCTGAACTGTAAAAAATTTTTGTAATTTTAACAGTAAAATACAGTAAAATGCTGTAAAATTCTACGGTATGTCTGAATACTTGGTTAACGGCAAGTTCCCTTACTATATATGGTGAAAATCTTTAAAAGGGGACATTTTACAGTAAAATATTGTTAAATGTACAGACTTGGTTATCAATATATTATACAAGTACAAAACAGAGTAGTAGGATGTACTATTAAAATTATATCAGTTAATGGGATATACTTTTTTTGTTACAGTAAATTTAAGTTAATTCTGTAACCCTAAATTTTTTTTATAGTAAAGTTCTGGCAACCACTGCTGTATGTTTTTACTGTAAGTTTCACAGATTACACACAGACAACTTGCCTGGTTTTAAAGGAGTTTTGGGCACTTTTCAGCTAAAAGCTAGATTGGTCAGGCTGGGAGTCCAGCTAGACCATCTGAAGACCATTTTGGCCAGGGCTTAACCAGCTAAAACGAGCTGAGGCTGGATTTAAAAAAAAAAAAATGATCATTTTTTTTTTAATTAATCATATCCAATCTCTCACCATGATCTTGGAGGTATAGGCGCAGTTGATAGATATGGCATTGACAATCATCTCCAGGGTGTTATGGTGGATCTGGCTGGGGTCCGGTATCTCACGGAAGTGCTGGTCATTGATGTAGGACTGCACTACAGTCATGCGGTTGGTGGTGAGGGTGCCGGTCTTGTCGGAGCAGATGGCAGTGGCATTGCCCATTGTCTCACAGGCATCCAAGTGACGCACTAGGTTATTGTCCTTCATCATTTTCTGAATTAACAGCAACAGAAGATTTGGACGGTGAAAAAACAGTGTTGACAAAAGCAAAACATGCTAAATATATTACATGAAAAAACATCCAGAGAAAAATATTTATTTTGTTCAAATTTGCTTATGTAATCTGTTAGCTCTACAATACATTTAATTTGCTGTTTACACACACACACACACACACACACACACACAGTGCACCTGTTCTCTCTCACCTTAACTGAATAGGCCAGGGAGATGGTAACAGCAAGGGGAAGACCCTCAGGCACAGCTACCACCAGCACAGTCACACCGATGATAAAGAATTTGACAAAATACTGCACGTAGATGGGCGTGCACTCAGGCAACCAGCTCCGCCCCTCCACCACAAATGTCTCGATCACAAAGTACAGCACCAGAATGATAACTGTAATGGCTGACATTACAAGACCTACAAACAAAACAGCATAATAAATAATCTTCATGATACTTGCAGATTAATCTTAAATCAATCTATTGACTATAAATACAGTAACAAATAAAGTAATGGATTACTTATCAAAATTACAGTATAATATCTGATTAATTTCTAATTATTTAATTTATTTATTATGGAAAAATAAAAATAGGGGTATATTTTAGGTGCCATAAACTAAACTTTTCTTTGACTTTTTTATGAGAATTATTTGTGTGCATTATAAACTATTGTGATTGTGAGAGAAAACACTTATGCTTAACATGTAACATGTAACAAAATACATAACACTTTTCATAAAAAGTAACAACATTACAAAGTTGTGGCCTAATGGTTGGAGAGTTGGACTTGTAACCCGAAGGTTGCACAAATTGCAAATATGGGTTACCATACTTGTCACAACACTTTCACTTTTTTCACTTTCAGTTAGTGGTCAGTAACTGCTCAGTTAACAGTGTGAAAATTTAGCACAAAAGTAACTTAACACATTAATTTCAATAACAAGTAGCAAATTCATTAGTCAGCACTTCTCAGTAAAGGCGAGAATATGTAAAATTAATATGTGTTACATTCCATGAAAAATTAGCTGCTACTTCCTCTGAGTTAACATTGAGACAATGTAGCACAAGCATTTAACATGTTACTTCCCATAAAAAGTAACAAAAGTAACAAATATATAACAAAAGTAACACAATGTGTAACAATGTAACACAATTGGCGAGGGCTTCCTTTCAGTTAACAGTGAAAAATGTAGTACAAAATGTATCATGTAAACATTTAACACTTACTTTCCATAGAAAGTAACAACGTAATACAATTAATCAGCACTTCCACTCAATTCATTGAGCGAATATGTAACAAAAGTAACACAATAAGTTAAATTCCATAAAAAATAACAATGTAACACAATTAGCGAGTGCTTCCTTTCAGTTAACAAAAGTAAAATAACATGTTACTTTCCATTAAAAAAATCTAGCACAAATAGTTACTTTTGAAAGAAATAATAGAATATTGTCACACTTTACTTTTAAAAGTAACATTCTTCAACACTGAATATATCTTTGTATGAGGATAAAAAAACAAAAGACAAGAGGATCAACAAAGCAGCGTGTAAGTGTGTCAGAGTGAGGTGATTTATCTTTCCATATGACATCACCTCGTAATTGGCCACATGAAGTCCCACGCACCTGCTTTGCCAATCTGTACAGCAAGTTTGGTGAGTTTGCCCTGCAGTACAGACTTCTCCTTCTTCGGCACGTTGGCTTTTTTCTTCTCTCTCTCCTCCACTTCTCCGCCCTCTGCACTCTTAAGAGGCTGCATCTCCATGGCAACGGCTCCATCCTGCTTTTTGGCTGGTGAGCGGGACATGAGTTAGCGTCACTACATATGGACAACAAATCTGTCGTGTCACAACTCAGAGCATCGTGAGAGTCTTCCGGCAAGAACGACTCATTCAAAGCTCTGAATACCTTTATGCCACACATCGAATATTTACGCTCAAAGTGGCATACACACATACTCTGGACACACAATGAAGGAAAGCAAGACAAATGTGGACACGCATAGCATAAACACTGACATCGGTTAGAGTCGGACCACAACAAGTTCTCGAGTTCTACAGAGCTGGCACTATTCAGCAAAATGTGTTTGGGTGCTTTTCCTCGACACCGGAAACAATGAACAACGGTTACACTGTACTACGCAAGGAAGCAGTCATTATGTATGCCATTAAGTATCTGTGTGTGATGTTACACAAAGAGTGGCTGTGTGCATACATGGTATTAGCGCTTATATTTCCCGTTGCTATCCTCATATAGCAACAACGTAGCTGAGGAGTCCACAGAAATTTTCCACAACAAGAAAACAATTAACCCCTCATTCTCTCCATTCATCTACTCTACTATCCCTGTGGTACCTTTATTCTGACTGGTCTCCACAGCTGCCTCTGGCTGCTTGCCTGTGAGAGAGAAAGACAGAGAGAGAGAGAGAGAGAGAGAGAGAACAAGGGAATAAAAAGCGACAGACAGAGACAGAATGAGAGACAGGGCACACAGTGTTCTTGAGTGGGGAAAATGAGAGCGCACAGAACTATGGAAACAGACACACAAATGCAAACATATAGCACACACATTGAGCTGGGCTCTTGAACTATGACATTTTAAACCTGTGAATGCACTCCACAACAATTCTGGGCTAATCCAACTCTACTTAGTGCTGATTGTAGTCACTTCATCTATGCTGAAGGTGTTCTGTAACTCAAGTGGACTCAGAACAACAGGGCTGTGGATTACGTACCATTGGTGATGCCACTTGGTTTGGCCATAGTTGTTAGTGAGTAACTACTGTCCTCTGATTGGATAGAGAAACAAAGGGATAATGCAGGTGTGGAGGAGGGGGATCGTGGGAAATTGTTAGGATTGGGTGGTGGTAGAGGTAAGAAAAAGAGAAATTAATGATGATCATGTGGTACTAAGGAAAACTGAAAAAAGCCAAAACTGCATGTACATAGATTGTTAATATGAAATTACAAGTACTGGCAGTACTTCATCAGTTTCCTACAATATGACGTTCCTGCAAGACGATTCTGCTTCATGTAAAAGATTGTTTTCTAATTCTTTTGTAACAGTTATTTGGGCTGTCAACATTTTAGTAAATTAGTAAATTAATAATCTAGTTGATTTAGTGTGATTAATTATCAGCAAAGATTCACAAGCTATAGAATGGAACAGAACGGACGGATCTTGAGACATGTTTTTAACTACATTTCACTTGTAGTGTCCTAAAATGCAGCACTCATGGTGCATGAAAAACTGTGAAACAGAGCAACGTCCAAAGACATAAATCAATAATAATAATTTTTTAAAAATAATAATAAAAAATACTGCAGAAAGAATAAAAGCACACGTCTAGTGTGAATCTACTTTGTGAAGCAAACAATATATTGATCTACTCAATGAGTTACTCTTATACAATATCTTTGAATTACCATCATTTGGAGACTTTTCTCTTCAAATATTTATATATGCAACAGAGCTATTATAGTTTACTAAAACTAAAGCTGAAACTAAAATATTAAAAAAATTAAATTAAATAAATGTTAACGGAAAACATTTTTTTACAACTTTTTTTTTTTAATTTCAGCTAGTTGCCAAGGCAACATTTCTCATTTTAATTTAGTCTAACTAATTAATTTAGTTAATTTAGTTTTCATTTAAACTAAAGCGTAAATAAAAATGAATAAAAACTATAAACACATATTTATAATTGATAGTCCTAATTGTTATACCTGTAGTTTTTATGGCCTCCTGTTAAATGAGACACCACATAGAATTTTTATATTTTAAAAATTCACACTGCAGGACTGCAAAAACCTTTGGAAAAAAAAGAAAGAAAACTAAATATACACTATCCCTCGTGCATACATATAGATTTTAACTTCAAATCTTAAATGGTGAATAAAAAAGGTTTGTTGGCATTATTTGTCATATGTGCATTCTTATAAAAGTAGAGACTACTCTACAATTATGGGTATCAGAAAAGATGCATAAATATTACAAATCACATTTGCAAAAGCAAAAAAGACAATTCAGTTGTGATTGTGAGGCAGTTCTAAGTCTGTTCGGTGGCTGATGACACATATAGAGCGCTTCAGTGGGACAGTAACAGAACATGGCGCCACTTCATCCTTCATCCACCCACATCCAACCTTTGCTCTATCTCCCTCTCTCTGTTTCTCTCTTTCGTTTCCTTTCTCTGAATAATTAATTAGCCTACTCCAATATAACTCCTAATCCTTCATTATTCCCTTCTCTCCAGTCTCCTCTCTGTTGGCTGCAGGTTAAATTACCCATGACATGAGCCATAAAGTTTGCAGCAGTGGAGCTCTGCTTGTCTCTCTTGCTCGTCTTACCATTCATAAATATTCCTGCAGGCTCCGAGCCCACTGGTCCTCCATTCATATCCAACCCATCTCTCCCTTATGTAAGGATCTCCCACCCCCTCTCTCTCTATTCTCTACTGTCTGGTAGTGCTACTCACAATGTGTGCAGTCCTTCTCACTACATCCTACACCAGCCTCAGCATTTTCTATTGCGGTATTACGGTATGTTTTGGTTGGCGTTTGATGCTCTTCCTTCTTACACCTACCTTTCTTTTCTTTCTTCTCCTCCTCCCCTTCCCCAGCTCCCAGTAGAGTGAATATGATGCCAGTCTGAGAGTTGACTCCAACTGCGGTCACCAGCATCCTGCCTGATCCCTCCATCACATGGGTACCTGAGAAAGAAAGATTGAGAGAGAGACAGACAGAGTAAGGAAAAGACACAATGTAGACATGAATGATTGATATTTTATTGTAGCACAAATGGAAAGACTCCCCAAAAATTCTGCAAAGGTTGTCCCAACTAGCCTCATAGAACTAGTGTAAATAAATAATTTCCTGTTGAACAATGTTGGTGATATGTGACCTCCCAGCATGCATTGCAGCATCAATAAATTATGTTCTACCCTTCTGTTTCAAAGATTGTCATTTCATATTAAGTCAACATAAAACTACATGTAAGAGTGAAATCATACCTTTTATATTTATGCCAGTAAATATATTTAGAATGTCTAAGTTAATAAAAAAACAATGCATTTAAATAATTGTAATTTTCTTGTAAAGTGACCTAGAGCTTAATAATAAGTTTTATGTAAAATTCAGTTTTTTAAAAGCTCAAGTTCATTTTACAAGAAAGTGACAAATTTCTATAATAACAACAACAATGTCTAAATTAATAAAAAATAGTACAATGAAATAATTTAAATTTTCTTGTAAAGTGACCTTGAGCTTAATAATAATAAGTTTAATTTAAATGGTGTCTTTTCAATGTTCAAAGCCACTTCACAAGAAAATGACCAATTTCTATAATAATAATAATTTATATAGTGCTTTTCCAAAGATTAAGGTTGCTTTACAAAAAAAAAAAACTACAATTTTCTCTAATTTTCTAAATAAGTAACATTTTACATTTAGTGCACAAATTCAAACTGGCTAAACAAAGTAATGTTACCGAAGACAGTTGTAAGACAGCTCATATTTCTGTGATTATTTTCACATTTTCTCAACAATTCCTTTTAGACATTGACTATTTATCTTCAAATACAGACAGCCTGGCCTGCTGCAGTTCATCATAAGCATTTGACTCCAGACCGCACACAACAACAGCCTCCATACATCAACTTCACAAAAATATCATTAGGATATTATTCAATAATATCATCAGTAGAGCAGGACATTATCATCCAAGTGTCTAAGAATAGCATGAAGGAAGGGAGAGGTCATGCACCAGTGCTCACAGCAGGAAACAGAGATTCTTAGATCTAATTATCAACATCTGGATGTCACTGCAGCATCTCAGTTATTCTGACACACAGAATGCGGACGCTCCGAGTGCTTTGTGCTGCTGACTGACAGCTGAAGGAGTGCAGCCCAGAGGGGAATACAAAACTACTTCAGACACTTTCAAGAAAGATTGACCAGTCTCTTAAGTAGAGTGATGGGCATCAACCTTTAACAATGATTTTACTTTAATACACAACAACTTTTTTGCTACTAGCATAAAGGCCTATTCACACTAAGAATGATACCTATACAAATAATTATAGCCATAACAATATTAGCATTCACACCTACAGACAATATTGTTCTGTTTATTATAAATGCTGCGGTTACTGTATACTATCTGCCACTCTAAATGCTCAAGCTCTTTAAAGTCAGTGGATTCTGATTGACTGTCAATATTTTTATTGTTCATGAATCATAAGCCGAAAAAAATGTCCTTAAAATGATTCCAGCGATCAATATCATTATAGTTGTGTTATGGACTTTTAAACAAATATTTAGGCAATTGTTAAAACTTAATGGCCTGGTTTCACAGACAGGGCTTAGCTTAAGCCAGGACTAGGCCATAGTTCAATTAGGATTTGAAAGTAATTTTTATAGACATGCCTTAGAAAAAACATTACAATCATTGCAAGTTTCTTTCAATTGAAACAGTTCAGACTTACATTTTTGCCACATCACAGCCTTGTCTGTGAAACCGGGGGTATAGGTATAGTTAACGTTAAAATCCTTGGTTTATTGGTGAATCCTTGGTGATTATTATATATAATCCACCCACCATTATATATGGTCTAGCAACATCTACTGTATGATCCACACATGTACACATGCTTACCAGAGAGAAGCATGGGGTCCTTTTCGACCGACTTCCGCACATGGTCTGATTCACCAGTTAAAGAGCTCTCGTCGATTTTCAGGTCATTTCCCTGAATCAGGACCCCATCAGCAGGTAGGAGGTCACCTGAGAGAGGAAACAAAAGTGGGACAAATAAATATCCCGTGATCAGTAGAGCATCCTTAATATCCCAAAAAGCATTCACTGTTCCTACCAATAATGCTACATTGCACAGGATACATTATCAACAAATGAGTTCCCATTGTGATTTGTGGAAATGTGAACATTTCTCTAAAAATGCCCCAGTGTTAATCCACACCTTCCTCGTATTGGATGGGTTAAGCCTAATCTCAGCATTTATTTCATTCTCCGGGCTCAGCAAAACAGGAAACTGACCGTATTTGACCTGGGCCATGTCCCCAACCACCATCTCGGCGACGGGGATCTGGATGACGTTTCCATTGCGCACCACAGCGAATCGCTGCTCCAGCTCGATGCGGCTCTGCAGTCCCCGGAACTGTTTCTCTTTACTCCAGTCGTTGAAAGCCGTCACCAGCACCACGCAAATGACGGAGAGTAGGATGGCTGCACCTTCGATCCATCCTGCCTCTGCCTCCCCCTCATCTTCAGTTCCTCCTGACCCATTTCCACAACCTGCAGAGGTTAGAAGTTCATTATTACATGGGCGTCTGGAATACTTGATTCTGATTGATAAATTGCAGTTGATGCTGGAAGCAGATGCTTTCCAGATGAAGCACTCTTTAACAGACATCTTGGAGACGTATGTGTGCTATCCTTGGACCCCATAGCTATCCTTGGGCACTCTTTTTGTTGCCTGATTAGAGACTATAGAACATCACTTTATATGTACAGTATTTATTCGTAAACATCGAAATATGCTAATTAATGTCATTTAAACACCACATCATAGGCATAAAATATCTTTTAAACAATTTAATTTGTGTTTTCAATTAGCAAGCTAACTAGCATAGCACAATCTGGTTAAGGAAAGCTCTTTTGATTAGCTAGACTAAGATATCATGACAACACACTCACTTTTCAGATACTGAGAAAAGCCTTTCTTTAATGTCTTTTAAATTGCTCTGTGGTCTCTGTCTCGTTTCATACCAACACAAGTTTGCTGTCTTCTTGCAACTCAGAATGATTAGCTGACTGACGAGCTTGTGCACTTCATTATTATTTTTTTTACATACATTGATACATACATCAATTCTAAAGTTTGGAAGAATATTTTTAAAGAAATTACTTTAATTGAGCAATTAAATTGATTAAAATGACAGTAAAAGTCATTTATAATGTTACAAAACATTTCTATTTCAAATATAAACTGAATCAAAAGACATTAAAAAAATGCTAATGTCAATGTCTAAAAAACATAGTATGATATCTTAAAGAATCTGAAAAAAAACATTGCTGCTTTTACTGTATTATTGATTAAATAAATGCAGCCTTGCTGAACATGAGACTTTTAAAAACATGAAAAAAAACTTTTTAATGTTAGTGTATGGTAAGCATATAACATTTGATAGATGACTAGATGCTCAGCAGTCTCCAGTTAAAGCGAGAAAACAAAAATATCACTTGGAAGAACAACAAACTGGTAAGAGACAGAAAAACTGAATAGGAAAACCTTAAAATAGAAGAAGACTTTTTATATTGTAGCTAAATATGTTATGCTAACTAATTTATAGAAAAAGTGACTTGGACTGCAGATTAATATTAATATATTAATATTATATATGAATTAATGTTGTAATACTGTTGCAGTCTTTATACTGCTAGTAGATACAAGAAAGAATAAAATAAAAAAATTATATAAAAAATCAGTCTTTAATGTTAGCAAATAGCCATGTAATTAATAGGATAATGTGCAGTACAGCTGGCAATATTAAAAATCGACCCTTTCAGAAATCTGTTCATCCTGCCAGGGTTTATTTTGCAATAATGCTTGGCTGGTTGTACATTATGCCTTCCTTATGCAGAGTGACATATAGGTTATGCTGTTATCAATGATTTCCTCAGAGTTTGACTGTTTTGCTATTGCAGGGGATTTTAATATTCACATAGATAATGCAGAAATCAAAACTATAAGAGAAATTATAACTGTTTTAAAGGGGTCATATGATGCTGCTAAAAATAACATTATTTTGTGTATTTGGTGTAATGAAATGTGTTTATGCACAAACTCGCATTTGAATCATCAGTGGCAAATCCTTTAAATGAAAACGTACTTACAGACTGAGTCAGAACTGCCGGCATTGTAGTCTACTCTTCCAGGATCAAAAATTGAAATCGCATCATATGACCCCTTTAAACACTTTTGACCTGATTCAGCATTTGCATGGACCCACACACAATCAAGGACACACTCTATAGATGTACTCTTATTATTTCATCCATTGTTATTAAGGATGTAGCACTATCTGATCACTTTTGTATTTTCTTTGATATATTGATCTCTGCTACCACTGAATCTAGATCAGTCTCTGTCAGGAAGAGA